CTTTATTAAAATGATAGAATTTCCCGTAACCTTAATAGCTAACAATATCAAGAGTCTAATCTTATCTTATCTTACATATTATAAAACGTAGATTTTGTGTGTGTGTGTGTGTGTGTGTGTGTGTGCGTGCGTGCGTGCGTGTGTGTGCACACGTCTATATATGGGATAGTATTTCCTACATTTTTCAACCGATTTCAACAAAACTTCACAGGACTACGTAAAATTACCTGGCAGTGGTTCTGACAGCACCAAAAATGGGAAAAACGCAATTGTTTTTGCATGAAATCAATTTGAAAACACGATTAAGAAGCATCGCTGTCGCGAGAATGAAAGAGGGACAACTCATATTGTGTTATACTTATTATAAAACCCAGGTTGTTTGTGTGTGTGTGTGTGTTCGTTTATATATGGGATCGGATTTCCTACATTTTTCAACCGATTTCAACAAAACTTCACTTTTTTTGAAACAGTGTTTTTGTTTGAGTTTGGGTTTGACCAATTCGTAAAAAAAACAAAAAAACAAAAAACAACAAAACAAAAAACTAATTAAGACATGCGTGTTCGTCAACCTTAAACAATAATTTTTGTCAATTCTATTTTTCACTCTTTGGTCGATACTTGATCTGTCTCTTACTGTTACATCCCCGGGCAACGCCGGGCTCTACTGCTAGTTACTTATAAATTCAGTAAATTTCTAAATAAGTTATTCCAAAAATCGCTTGAGAATGAAACAGAACTAGGGATTTTAATTTAGTTTTATAAATTTATTTTTATAAATTTATAATTAAATTTAAAGTTTTAGTTTCTCTTTTTGAAACATGGTAATTTCTGTATAGCGATGGGACCACATTTGTAAATTTATAATGTTTATGCTCTACAGAATTGTATTGAGCACTGTTTTTTAAAAATAAAAACAATTAATAAGAACATCGGATTATAAATCTTACTGTTCTTTCTCATTATTTTAATATATATGTGTGTGTGTGTGTGTATATATATATATATATATATATATATATATATATATATATATATATATATATATATATATATATATATATAACAACTATAAACATCAGGAGATCAGTTGAATCCGCTAGCTTGGTTTCAAACTTACGGTACCATCAGGCGATTTTTATCAAATGACCTCTTAACAAACGCATAACGTTGGGTGTAATAGAAAGGGGAGGAGGAGGATATCAAGAAAGAAGAAGAAGAAGAAGAAGAAGTAATCCTTGTATATATATTAAGAAATTCCTTTTAAGCACATATGAAGCTCGATGAAAAAATACAAATGAATTACTCTATATGATTATTCTAAACCCCACCCACCAAATTTCTTATATATATATATATATATTTCATTTAAAACGACAGAGAAGGCACTTTTATTTAGTTTTTTATGCAATTCCGCATGCGATCCGATAATTTATTTTTTTCTTTCCGGATGATAAATTATATAAAAACTGTCCGAATGTTCTTTTTATCAGAGTGCTTTCGGCTATACATTTAGCCATTTTCAAAGATTATATTTTAACTGTTAAATAAGAAATAGTTTGTTCTATGTATGTTTTTCTTATATCCGGGTTTGGTCTATTATATATATATTAACACAGGCTCTAATTTGGGACCAGAGAAAATCTCTCTTATATCCGGGTTTCTCTTATATCCGGGTTACACTGTATTAGGAAAAATGTATGACAAAGTGCAAAAACTTTTTCCTGTGACTAAGTTTATGTTGGTACGACTGCACATGCCAACAAATGCTGAGAAATTTTAATTAAATTTTCTTTTTTCTAGCGGATTTAGATTCTTTTTCTTTGCATCACTTTTGTTAGTAGATATCACACACTGTGATAACAGATACGAAAAATAAAAAAAATAAAAACCGGAAGTGAAAAGAAATGAAAAACAATAATAAAAAAAACGGAGGTTTAAGAAGGAATTAAGTTATTCATTCATCTCACATCGTTTATTCAGAATCGATGTGCGGGTAGGGTGGTTGGAAGGTTGATGGTGATGGTTGTCTGATTCTGATTTGGGGAGGGGCGGAGACCCGTCAAGTACTAAGCCAATAATGGAAATCCCATAAAAGTGTCTGAACAAGGGAATTAAGTAACTGGTTTGCGAGAAATGCGACATATTTTCCGCTTCGCCGTAAAATGCATTTTTCTTCCAGGTGCATTTTTTAATCAGTTACTTCAAGTGCTAAAAATGTGACACGGAAATGCAGACGTTCCCCACCCACCCCCCAAAAAAGAAAGAACAATTTTCATGTTTATATCATTTGCATTTGCAAGTTCCTATTTATATAAGTTACATATTTATCTACATATATCTCAACAAGGGAATCATAAGTTTAAATCACTAGCATAAAATGCCGCCCAATAGGACGGCATTTAGTCTAATTCCGGTGGAAAGCCTTTGTTCCACTCCCAAACGATGTTGCATAACTGTAGAAAAAAATGATTAACTTTCTTTAAGCTAAATAGTATTTTATAGTTTCAGTTTAAGGCTAAAGGAGGATATTTTGGCGAGAGCAAAATTTAATCATATAATGCTTTTTTTTTCTTTTCTTTTTGACTCAATTTCTCTTATTTAAAGTTGTTGTGTCGGAAACCTACCACCCCTCTTGAAGATGAACTTGTCTGCGTCTGTAAACAAAGACTTTAAATAGTGGCATGTCAGCTGACATGGGGAAGACAGATAGAGAAGTTCTTAGCTGAGCTAGTTATTGACTACTCAGGCGATTTCTGTACATTTTTACCAACCTATTAAAACCCTTTTTATTGTTACGTGTTATTTGGCGTTTGTCTCTACTAACCCCAAATCAACATCATAACAAAAGTAGAAAACACATACTTTTGGGCCCCATTTAAAAATTGGCATGAGTTTCCTCAAACTTTTGAACTGTGTGTGTGTGTGTATATATATATATATATATATATATATATACATATATATATATATATACTTCACCACTTTAATCAAATCACTTGTGTGGGTTTTCTGGCGGTTTACCTTAGCCTTGGAGCAGATAGAATTGAGATCAACATGTTTTAGTGGACTCGGCAGTTTTCAGTCTGCTTGACTGAATCATCTTCAAGAAGCGAGAGCAAGATCTAAAGGGTCGGCCAATCTAATAGCGATCTCATCCTACAATCCTCACTCTTGCTCCATATATCGCCTCCTTTGTAAATCACTAGCGGGTCTTAAGTGCCACTTAAGATAATCGCACAAAATTTCATAATTGAATCAATTAAACTGTCAGATCCTCATACGTCGAAACCGAAGGGGAGAGTCTATTATTATAGTCCATTTTATATATATATATATATATATATATATAAAACTGAAAGTGTGACTCTCCCGAACACTCCAATTCACTTCATACCATCCCCCTCTTACATTCATGAAACAAACTTCGTTCAGTAACCCTCTATATTGAGTGGATTTCGAGCCTTGTATCGGGTGAACTTTAATTAGAAAAAGAAAAAAGAAAGCCAGCCTTGAAAGTGACTTAGGTTAACTTAGCCTCGAGAAGGATAATCGAGGAGAAAACGCCGCAGAGAAAGATGGTGTAGCGCCAATCTTCTAAGTGGCGGAGTGTTTGCGCTCATAGATATTTACCCTACTCAGCTTGCTTCATTACTTGCTAACAAAAGGAAAATCGTTAGCAGTCTGGTCAGGAGCCAGCTTTGTCCGGTGGCAAGTTGGGCTCCTGATGGTGTCAGCCCCATTTATCAAATAAAAATGCAATAAAGAAGGAATACAGGCAACTGTTTCAGTCATAAAAAGGAATAAAAAAACAACTTTATAAAGTCATCTGCGCACTATCATTTCTTCAAGACTAACACGAGAAGACATTTTCTAAGCTAATGATCATAAAGACAAAGTTACGAAATTCGTGGCCTGAGAAGAATTTGGAATCATGAGTGTTGCTATCCATTGAAAAATTGGAATTGGTATATGAATCGAATGTGGAAGCAATTATTGCAGATTCGAACAATCATTGAGTGAACACAGACAATTGACTACCTATCTATGTATCTATCTAATGACTACTAGACTATCTATCTATCTATCTATCTATCTGTATATATATATATATATATATATATATATATATATATATATATATATATATATATGTATGAGTTAAATAGTTAAATACAAATGATCAAATATGGATCGAATCTTACATTATGAGAAGATAAAGAACAAATAAGAAATGTTTATCAGTCTAATGTAATTTGTGCAGCAAACTATTTCAAAATATCAACTGATTACTTAAAACTAAAAAATAAATAACTGATAAAATTATTCAATTATAAAATTCCGTATTTACATTTGGTATTTACTGCCAGTCACATGTACAGTAAATGTCCAATGTAATTACTAAGAAATACACATTTTTTTTTTCAACCAAAATTAAAATTGTGCCATTTTCTCCATATGTATTATTTGAAAATTTTATTTATTCATTGTGAAAATTAAATGATCGCGTTGTAGTTGTGGGTGACAACCCTTTGTCTCCTGGCAAGCAATATTTTTAGACCCGGTCCGCTCTGTGGGTAATACAGATAGGAAGATTGTATAACTCTAGTCTTTCAAGTTTGGAAGTTTAGTTTGTCCTGAAAGGCAACATTAGATAATAATGTGGTATTTTAGACTCCGTTTAGCGCCGGTAGAAAATCTACAAGCCTCAATGGATTACTGTTGTCAGTAGTAGTAGGAGGAGGAGGAGGAGGAAGCGAGAAAACGAGAGAGAAGATGGAAGCTAGGGAAAGGAAGAAGGAAACTATGTAGGAGGAAGAGGAGAAGGAAGCGAGGGAAAAGGAGGAGGAGAAAACGAGAGAGAAGACGACGGAAGCTAGGGAGAAGGATGACAAAGAAACGAGGGAAAAGAAGGAAGGGATGGAGAAGGAGACGGAAACTAGAAAGGAGGAGAAGGAAGCTCGGCAGGAGGAGGATGAGCGAGGAAGAGAACGAGGAGGAAGCTAGGGAGGAGGGCGGTGGAAACGAGAGAGAGAAAGTGAAGCGAGAGAGAAGAAAGCTAAGGAGGAGGTTATGAAGAAGGGAGAGGAGAAAGCTAGAGAGAAGGAAACAAGAGAAAAAGAGGGAGGACGTAGCGAGAGAGAAGTCAGGATCACTTTTACATTTTGTCGTTTCGACCACTGGCCAGTGTCTTTGTTCCGAAGAGAATTGTTCCTTCATATCTCAATGCAAGACTTCAGCTTGTATTGACATAAAAAAATTCTTCATTTCACCTTTTGTCGCGCTGAGATTTAAACGTAGATTTTTGTTGCATTTTTTTTTTTTTTTTTGTTCTTTTCAAAGAAAAGGAAGAATGTAGTCAACAAGCAAATAAAAAAATAAAAATAATGAATGAATAAAGAAAGAAAGAAAAAACAACAACAAAAAAAGAATGATAAAGAAAAATAAAGAAAAAGTTAATGGATGAAATAAAAAATAAAATAACTGTCTCCACAAAAAAAGCCAATCAGGAAGCAAAATATTAATAAATAAATAAACTCAAGAAATTGTTACGAAAGCAATAGAAATTCTTTATTTTGCCTTCTGTATACGGAACCATTCTTTAGACTGACTCGTGTCTGGCAAAAGACGCCACCTCCGCTTTCTTCCTGATATTTCAGCAAGGCCCTATCATATTCGTTACCATTTATAACCATTCCAAGATTTGGTTTTCATTACGAATACTTATCAATACATTTGTAAAAAGAAGTCCATTTTTGTCTACCTTAAGACAGTATTTTTTCTCTAAACAAAAACAAGACTGACGAATAAAGCTCAATAAACAACCTCTTATCTGCCGTGTTTATCAAAACGTGGGCAATCATGGCTCTCCACAACTTCCTATCTGTTGTAGGTGTATATATATATATATATATATATATATATATATATATAAACTTAAAAGCCGTCCTGTCGGGCGGCATTTATACTACCTCCTGTGGAGGGCTCTTGATTCAGCCTCCATCACATTAGGTAGGGAAGAGTAGATAAGGCAAAAAATGAACTACAGAAGAACTCAAAATTGAAGGCTGCATTTAAGTATTGCATTAATATTTAAACTTGCCTTTTAAAAACTCAACGATAATTCTTCTGTCGCCACTTAAGTTAAAGACATTTGGATGTACGTAGGTCCTTACTTTCCGTACAAACAATTATGTTCATTTCATGGGTGACTTTCGCTAGATTTCGCAATTAATTTCGATGATACCCTAATTTATTTCCAAGTTATAAAAATTGTTATCGTACTAAAAAATTTGTCGCAAAAAATCACGTAAAAAATCGCCGAAAACAATCGCAGTAATGAAAATTTGGGAATCCAGAAATTTAGGATTGCAGGTCTGGATCCGAGCCGGAATGTTTTTAATTTACTCACAGATTCAGTCTGATTCCAAAATGGTATGATATGTTGCGCTATGGCCTCTAGGAGTAAAGCTGAAAAAATGTGACACAGTGACACACTGACATTCGCATTTATGTTCTATATATATATATATATATATATATTATCGAATTTTAACATTTGAAATTTTTCAAATTCGAATTAAATTTAAAAAAAAATAAAAACAAAAAATCTTGTATAATTTCATTATTCATCGAAAAAAATGTTTTCGTAAGATAATAATGTACATATATTTTCTTCATAAAGTAATTAAATGTTTTTGTCATTAAATAATATTTTAGTTTTATTGTATTTTTTATTTTACGATTTCGAGGAGATTTTTCAAAAAGCTCAATAAACAACTTCTTTTATGTGCCGTGAAGAAATTGATGACTTAATTTTTCCTAGGACCGCTCCTTATAACTAATACTAGCAATAGAACCCGTCTTCGACCGGGTGTTTTCTTACTGGGAATTTTTGCCTCCAGTTGGAGCAGTTTAAGTTTAAAGTCAGCCCAACCGAAAATCAATATTAGTAACAACAATTGGGTACAACTGAAGCACATCCCCAAATGGGTGGGGGGGGGTGAACAATTTGAATGGAGGGCCCTGAAAAGGGAATTGTATAATAATAAATAATATTATTGTAATAATTTAAACTATTTATTTTTTATTAAAGTTTTTAACAGATAGTAAATAGTAAAACGTTGCTGAGGATTATAATGGACAGGAAGTAGTGGAGTGCCATATTTGCCAACAATTTGGAATGAAAATCGGCACTGAAGAATTATCTATCAAACAAAAAAATTCATCAAAATCGGATGAAAACTGTGGAAATGCATAAACAACATCCGATCATACACACACATACATACACACACATTTTGAGAATTATAGATATAGATAAACATGATATACAAAAAAAAATTTTTCGAAATTTAATAAAAATATAAGAGTAAGTGGTGGGGGAGTGTAACAAAAGTTTTAAAAAATAATCTCAAATATTTTCGAAAAAAAGAAACCTTTTAAAAAAAAATTTCATTCCTTTTTAAATCAATTCTAACAAGTATCTGTTTTTTGTTTTTTTTTGTTTTTGTTTTCTTTTTTTTTACCGCTAAAAAGACGCTAAAATGTCCCGTACAAATTTATTGTCCCATGTTGACGCTTGAAAAACAAGATTTGAACCAAAATTTCAATGGTTCCAAAAAGGATTTAAAAAAAAAAAAGTTTTGCATGAAAATTCCTTTCATCTTTCCTTTTAATAATAACATAAAAATTTTGACGATAAAACTTTTCTTTTTTTCTTTTTCTTTTTTTTTTTCATTTTGGGGGGAATTTTTTCATCAGTTCTTAGCAAACGTTTGGAGATGCCTATGCACGCACCCACGCACACACGCGCACACACACACACATATATATGTTTATATATATATATAATGAGACAACAGAGAGAACATTTTAAACAACGCGCTTCGCCGACATGAAGTATGTTGGCTCCAGATTCTTAAGGGTGCAAACACAGTCCAACAAACCTCACGTCGGCTAAGTGCATCGTTTAAAAAGCATCATCTGTCTCTTCATCTTGACTATTGTTTTTCGGATGCTATTACAATCCGACAACCCCCCCATATATATATATATATATATATATATATATATATATATATATATATATATATATTAAATCCGATCCGAAAATATTTAACAAAAATAACGTATAAACAGAATATATATATATATATATATATATGAAGAAAAATATACGGAAAAAACAAACAAAAATCCTAATATGCAATTATGCTGTTTTAATGCTAATTTAATGTCAACGTCGGACGTTTCGGTCTAATAGACCATCTTCAGGACATATTCATAAAACATAATTAACATAGACCATATTCAATTCAACATGAAAAAGACGATTGACATAAAAGCAAGACCAATCCAAACAGATAACTGGATTCCATTATTTTTAATCTTTTTTTACAGGTGAATGCAGTTAATATATTTGTATTTTCTACTAGTACGTTTCTAATGGAGTCTGGTAAGTTTGCGCGTGTGTGTTTAAATGGGTTCTAATGGAGCTATGATCAGATAGGTGTAACGTATGTCGTCTGGATAAGCATGTGGTTGTGTAACCGATGTAATTATTTATGAGTCCGGTTTTATCAGGAACACAGTTCCTTAAGTGGCATTTGAACTCATAGATAATGTACGTTCTTTGTAAGTTTGACTTAACTGGTATATTGTTATTTTTGAGGATAAGGTTGGCTGTCTTAAATTTTTTATAATAGATAATTAATTTGATTTTTGTATTCGGGTCAATTGGGTTAGTGGATTTCTTTATAATATGTCTTAGTGAAGATTCGTTTTTGTTTGTAGTTAATGTGCATTTGGTTTTTGTAATAAATGTGTATGTGATTTTTGGCTGTGTGTTCACTATTGTTAAGACTTTACTTTGGGGAGAAATAGTCCAATTTGGTGGACTATAAGATGGTTAGGGAAACCGTTGTTGATTAGTGTTTGTTTAACATTATTAAGTTCTTTAAGGAAGAGTAATCGAGATGATGAATTCTGGTGTGCTTTTTTAGGAAGTTATTGCTATTTTGTACCTGAGTCGGCATTCGCTTTTAAACTTAAGAGTTTTTGCTGGTGGGTTTTTTGTATAATGTGATAAATGTCTTATTGTTATATTCTACAAGAACATGAAAGAATGGGAGTTTGTTTTTTTGACTAAGTTCATACGTAAAGGACAGACGGAGTTTTTTCTCAAATGTTGTCTTAAATATATATATATATATATATATATATATATATATATTATTTTATAAAAAAAATTATAACATAAATATGTTATAAAATCACTACAAAATAGCCATTTTGTTTCAACACACTCTGTGTCTTATCAAGTGATGATGTTGAAAGAAAAAATATATATATAAAACTATATATATATATAAAACTCTCTATATATAAACTCTCTCACATATTGTCTGTTTGAAGAAAGTTAAATTAAAAATACTACTTACATTATTTATATTATTTGGACGGTTATCCTATGGCAGGATAACAGTCCGAATAATGTAAATAATGTAAGTAATCATAGTACCTCATCTCAGATATATAAACAAAGTACTTACTGTATAAACAAATCGTATTTTTAAATCTCATTCACTTAAATCAGATTAACTTAATTCATTATGCGCCGGACAGACGGACGCACCACGCAAGGACGCACGCAATCAAAGAAAGGTGGAAAGAGAGAGAAAGAGAGAGGAGGAAAGAAACTTAAATCATTATTATGCGCCGGACGGACGGACGCACCACGCAAGGACGCAGGCAATCAAAGAAAGGTGGAAAGAGAGAGAGAGAGGAAAGAAACTTAAATCATTATTATGCGCCAGACGGACGGACGCACCACGCAAGGACGCACGCAATCAAAGAAAGGTGGAAAGAGAGAGAGAGAGGAAAGAAACTTAAATCATTATTATGCGCCAGACGGACGGACGGACGGACGCACCACACCACCTAGCACGCGGTCACAGACTTTTAGCATGATAGATGATAGATAGATGAATGAGAATAGATAGATAGATAGATAGATGAATATAGGAACAAACTAAGAAAGAAAGAAAGAAAGAAGACTAAGATGAATGGCTATGAATAGACTGAGATAGATAGATAGATAATAGATAGATAGATAGATATTATGAACAGACTGGGATAGATAGATAGATAGATAGATGAATAGATAGATAGATATGAACAGACTGACATGGATAGATAGATGAATGAATAGATATGAACAGACTGAGATAGATAGATAGATGATAGATAGATAGATGAATGAATATGAACAGACTGTGATAGATAGATAGATAGATGAATAGAATGAATAGATGGATATGAACAGACTGAGATAGATAGATAGATAGATAGATAGATGATAATGGATAGATAGATATGAACAGACTGAGATAGATAGATAGATAGATAGATATGAACAGACTGAGATGAAATAGATAGATAGATAGATAGATAGAATGAATGAGATAGATAGATGAATATGAAAGACTGAGATAGAAATGAATGAATAGATATAATGTAATAATTAACAAGACAATGAAATTTCCTATACTAATCTTTGTTACCCCGATGAAACCAATAAATTTCGAAAGTTCTTAAAAGGGTGAAAAAATGTAATTTAATAATCAAAAAAATCCTTTGGTCTTTCCTTTTAATAATGACATAAAGATTTTAACGATAAAATTTTGTTTTTATTAAGCTCGGGGCATTTGTTCATCATGGTATGCTCATATTTTAGCGAATTCACGGAGGTATTTCTAAGATACTTATAAGAGAGAGAAAGAGTGAGAGAAAAATAAATTTTAATGAATTTATCCAAGAAGGTCTGTCTGATAAATTTTCTTTATTGGATTTTACCAATTTTCGTATAAGTTGTTGCACATCAGTATCAAAATTGTGGAGAAACTCTCAAAAGTTGATGTCTTTGTTCAAATACTTTTGGCTAATTCGGTCATTATCAATAACTGTTGTTAATTTCTTAGTTGGCGAGATTGATGCACTTGTCTGTGGAATTTGGAAGATATATATTTGTCCTTTATATAAATTTTTGTTTTATATATATATATATATATATATATATATATATATATATATAAAGTAAATTTATATAAAGGAAAATATATAAGGAAAATACATGTGTATATATACATATATAAACAGAAATGTATATAAAGGAAAAATATATCTTCCAAATTCACAGACAAGTGCATCAATATAATGAATTGATGCTTAATGTGTTCCTGATATATAAAAATCACCATTTCAGGCAATTGACATTTCAGCAATGTTTTATCCCCCTAAGTGCTGGCAATTTTGTATCTATATTTACTAAATAAAAAAAATCATATTTCTTTCACTGTCTCAGAGCATAAACTTATTTTTTCGTATGTATTAAACTTATATTTTATATATATATATATATATATATATATATATATATATATATATATATATATATATATATATATCTCATAATTTCTCCCGTTGTCATATTGAATTCGATTTGTAACCCCGCCTACGATATATAAGTCCGGCATTTTTTTTTTCCCATTTTCGTGGGCACTTTTTGCATCTGCATCGTCTTCATCTACTGAATCTTTTTTTTTTCTTCCCCATCCAGACAGACGATGGCTTTGCCTATTTAGAAACACTCAACTAAATGAAGAGTGTGAATGGTCCATTTCATCATTACATCATGTCACATGACTTATGATATATCACGTGACCTGTGACTCACGACTTCGTCATTGGTCCACTGCTGCAATGGCTTTGAGTGATTTATTTAGTTGTTGTATTCTCCCCCAATTTCGTTTCCTCTTAGAGTAACTTTGTTATTTTCGCTCTATGTATTTTTTTTCTTTTGTCATTTCCGGCTTGCTGTTCTCTCTGACTTCTTCATATAATTGTTTTCTTTATTTTAAAGTTTTGCTTCCATTTTAATTCGGCCATCTTCTTCCTTTCGCTTCTTCTTTCATCTCTTTTTCTTTCCTTCTACTTTTCTTATGCATTTCCAATTCATTTTCTATTCTTTTTTATTCTTTCTTTCTTTTTTTTCGGTTCATTCATTTATTTCTTAAGTCCCAAATTCCTTTATTTATTGATTCATTTTTGCTTTTTCTTCTTTTTCACGTAACCTCTTCATTCTTATTTAAGTTTATGCTTTGTCTTACTTTTTTCTTTCTTACTTTTTATTCATTCTTTTTTCTTTCTGTTTCTTTCTTTCCCTCATTCCTTTTTTTCTTTCTTTCTTACTTTTTATTCATTCTTTTTTCTTTCTTTCTTTTTGTTTCTTTCTTTCCTTCATTCCTTTTTTTTTCTTTCTTACTTTTTTTTCATCCCTGATCCCAGACTTACTTTTATACTCTCAGGGTTTATACATTTCTTCATGTTTTTTCTTCTGCATTTTTATTTGCACTATTGTTTGTCAATTCTTCTTTTTCTTCTTCTTCTTCATCTTCTTCTTCTTCTTCTTCTTCTTCTGTTTTTGTTCATTTATCATTTTCCTTTATTCTCTTCACAAGATATTCTTTCCCTAAGTTATTCATTTGCAAATTCTTTCAAGTTCGTTCTTTATTTCATTCTTTTTTATCCCTCCTTTTTTCCATTCATTCATTTTTCTTTCCAAATTCCATCTGGTTTTACATTTTTTTCGTTCTTTTCTTTTTTTTTTTCTTTCTTTCTTTCTTTCTTTCACCCTCTTCATAAATTTTTTCAATGCAGTCATGGTTCTTTTTCTTTCTCCTTTTTCTTCTTCATTTTTTTTTAAACTTTTTATTTTCTCCTTTTTTTTATTTTTCAATTTCCTTGTTAGCTTTTCTTATTCTTTATTCTTTTTTTACCTCTAATTTCTTCTTCTTCTCCTTTTTCTTCACATTCATTTACATTATTCCATAATTTATTAATTTCCAAATTCTTTCGTTCATTATTTTGTTGTTGTTGTTGTTGTTGTTGTTTTTATTCCTTCTTTCATTTTTCTTCTATATTTCTTATTCCCTCCATTTCTACTAATCAACAGATAAAGCCCTTCCCTACCCCCCCCCACTTCGTCCCTGGATCTACCCACCTTCTTTTTCTTTTTTTTAATATCCCATCAACCACCACTGGACTCTTTCTGGAGCCCATTTGCAACGACCAACCCTTCGCCACCATCTTTCATGACCCTTGACATGATGTAGATGATTTTTTTCTACACCATCAGAAACTATTAACAAGGCCTGACAGAGACCATGAATTATCTACCCTTTTCAGATACCTCTCCAATATAGAAGTGGCATTAGCTGGGCCGGTGAGATGGAGGGTGCGTTCTCATCGGCTGTGCAGGAGGAAAGGGAGGTATGCTATGTGGTACCACAGAGGAGAGTCGGGTTTTCCTGTCAGAGAGACGTTCTCCATTTGCCTTTCCTCTATTCCATTTCCTGCAGACCCCCAGCCATAGACACCTCATTCGCCTACAGATGACCAACCCTGCCCAACGTCCAGATCCACGTTTGATTTGATTTTGTGTCTTGGAGCTATTTGCAGATGGGAAATGGTGTATTCTTGCTAGCATCAGAAACATTTGTCATTTGGGTGGAAAAAAGGCACCGAAAATCAGAGAATAGGCGCTTTTCACACAGCACGCAGGAGTATGATCGCTGAAATACATCTATCTATCTATCTATCTATCTATCTATCTATCTATCTATCTATCTATCTATCTATCCCAGTCTGTTCATATTCATCTATCTATCTATCTATCTATCTATCTATCTATCTATCCCAGTCTGTTCATATCTATCTATCTATCTATCTATCTATCTATCTATCTATCTATCTATCTATGTCATTAGTTCCCAAACGGTGCGAAGGAAGAAAACAGCAGGTGAGGCGGAATTATTGAAAGACAAAGATTTAGAAACAGTTTCAAAAAATTCATATGCCAAAAAATAAATATGATTTCGAAATTTCAAATAATATTATGGATTCCTTGTAATTGCATGCATGAGTCCCAGTATAAATAATTATTATTATTGAAAAAATTTATCATTGTGATGTTTTTTCATTATATCAAATATTAAGAATATAGTAACTAGAGTCCGCAAATTGGAGGAGAGAGTTATCAATAATAATGTTCTGACTTCCAATCCGCGGGTATCTCTTTTGAAACCTCTCTGTTTTTTTTTTTTTTTTAAATGTATTTTTATCGCAATTTTTTACGTGATTTTTTTGGAAATAAATTGGGAATAATCGAAAATTAATTGCGAAATCCAGCGAAAGTCACCCATGAAATAAAAATATTTGTCTGTACGGAAAGTAAGGACCTACGTGCAACAAACTGTCTTCAAGTTAAGTGGCGACAGAAGGACTACCGTTTAACTTTTTAAAAGCTCAAATATTAATGCAATACTTAAATGCAGCGACCAATTTTCAGTTTTTCTTTGTTGTTTATTGTTGACTACCGCAATCAAGAGCCCTTAGTAGGAGCTAGCTTAAATTTCGATAGAGCGGCTTTTGAGCTAACTCCTCCCCAAAAACAAATTCATTTTTTTGACTTGCTCTCATGTGTGTATATATATATATATATATATATATATATATATATATAAACTCTTATTAAAATGGAAATTACCAATGCCAATATCCAGAAAAATGCTTACGCAGGAGCACCTCATTTTTAAATTTTAAATTTGACGTAACTATGGATACAAAGCCTTTCGCTTTCATTGCTTGCCTTGATAAAAGTTGAAAGACGAATTGCGTCGACGAAGAACTAAGAATTTTTTCCAATTAGCATTTTTAAACTAATTTGTCTTTATTTTCAGAATTATTTCTGGGAAATTTAACTATATATATATATATATATATATATATATATATATATATACATATAAAAAGAAAGAACAGTAAGATTTATAATCTTGTGATCTTTAGTAATTGTTTTATTTAAAAAAAAACAGTGCTCGATACAAACAATAGAACAATGTTATAATTATTTTCTTTGTTAAAAAATAAATAATTATAATATATATATATACTCGACTCTTCCGTCGAATTCGACGTACGAGGGTCAAGCAGGTCAGTTCCTAGGAAACCGACAGCCCGACACCAGCACATGAGATTTGATTATAGTGGTGAAGGTTTCGTGCAGGACCATCCACACTTTTTGAAGGGCCGAATACAGAGACCTGGTGCACTATATATATATATATATATATATATATATATATATATATATATGGGTTGGGATAGATGTGAGTTTGTGTGGTCACAAACTCACATCTATCCAACCAAATATGTTAGCTCTATCTCTGATATTGAGCGCTTTCTAATAAGTACCGCGCATATAATATTTAAATAATTATACATATGTATATTTATTTATATTTATGTACACACACTTTTCGCACACACACACACACACACACATATATATATTTTGCCACATAATCTTCAGTGTGGGACGTGAGGTCATTTAGTGAGAATGGAGGACGGCCGTACTCCAAAGAGACTTCTAGATTGTGATCTAAGGCAAGAAATGTAAAGGTCAGATTAAAAGATTCGGTTAAAAAGCATTCTTGAAGAATGCTAGCCCCCGAGAAATGCATTAGAAAGAAATTGCAACTCATCATGCAAGGTGTTCGAAAGTCGTATATGAGGTTGTCTTAGAAAGGTTGAGGACGTGAATCTGCAGTCGGTGTAAGCGACCTGACGCTCGACAGGTCGAGTTGGCGTGGGGATAATAAACGTGGAAGAGTCGCCTTTGGCAGGAGCGGAATTTTGAAAGCGGTCACCAAAGAACCACCGGACGTAAATAAGAGGCAACGCACAATGAAATGCAGTTATTTGCCGGAAGTCGGAAACAACGCACGAGAATTCATGATGGCCAACAAGTAGCTCCTTTGACTTGAAGGCGGTCATTATTGTAACATCCGTGTACCTGAGAGTGTGGGTCCTTTGCTGTCCGGATTAAAATAAAAGTCACATCCATGCAGTTCACAAGTAACGGTTGTGTTTGAGAACGAAGAAGCCACCGTGACACACAGACACACACACACACACACACACACACACACACACACACACACATATATATATATATTGAACAATAAGAAAATAAAAAATTAAAATCTTTAGACACACTGGGTTGTAGATTAATATTCTTTCGTTTTTTTTTTTTTATTATTATTCCATTTAGATTCCTCGACTAGTTTCGACCGAAATGGCCATTATCGGGAGGAGAAATATTTCTGCTTGCTGGTAGCACATATATATATATATATATATATATATATATATATATATATATATATATATATATAAAAGGCTCAAACACAAATATTTCATGGTTATAATTTATTACATTGGAATTGTAATCATGATCCAATTCATCCCATGTGAATAGGTTGGAATAAAAGTAGTTCAACTTGAAGTATACCGAAGTGAGCACAACTTATTACAATAAGGAGCAATATATTGGTAATATTAGAGATCAATATATATATATATATATATATATATATATATTCCCAAGAGGATAGAATCCAGGTAGAACTCAATATCCAGGACAGTGTAAGAATATAATATAAAAGGCTCAAACACTAATATTCCATGGTTATAATTTACTAGCAGTAGAGCCCGGCGTTGCCCGGGGATGTAACAGTAAGAGATAGATCAAGTATCGACCATCATAAAGACTGGAAAATAAAATTGATAAAGATTATTGTTTAAGGTTGACGGACACGCATGGCTTAATTAGGTTTTTTGTTTGTTTTTTGGAATTTTTTTTTACGAATTGGTTAAACCCAAACTCAAACAAAAGCATTGTTTTCAGTCGTTATGAGTCTCTACCGATTGAAGAGAATTTTATTATAAACATTTGTCTTGTAAATGGAATTTTTAAAGCATTCTGAATGTAAAAATAAAAGAAAAAAATGTGCAAGATAATAAAAACACTACCTGCCAAAAAAGTGAAGTTGAAAAATGTAGGAAATCCGATCCCATATATAAATGAACACACACACTCACAAACAACCTGGGTTTTATAATAAGTATAACTCGATATGAATTGTCCCCCTTTCATTCTCAACAACGATGCCTCTTAATCGTGTTTTCAAATTGATTTCGTGCAAAAACAATTGTGTTTTTCCCATTTTTGGCGCTGTCAGAACCACCGCACGGTAATTTTACGTAGTCCTGTGAAGTTTTGTTGAAATCCGTTGAAAAATGTAGGAAATCCGATCCAATATATAAACGAACACACACATACACACACACACACAACCTGGGTTTTATAATAAGTATGATTACATTTGAATCGTAATCACGATATATATATATATATATATGTGTGTGTGTGTGTGTGTGTGTGTGCGTGCGTGTAAGAGAGAGAGAGATACAGTGAGAGAGAACAATCAAAAGAAACCAATGAAGACAACGTCCTTAAATAGAAATTGATTGTCGTTCAATAGAGATAATAACCAAATTCCTTCTTTCCATTTTATTTTCATTTCCTTTTCTTCTTCACTTCATTCTTTTTCTTTTTCATCCTTCCTCTTTAAGTGTTTTTTTTTATTCTCGCCTTCAGCGTCTCTTTTTTATTTCGTTTTTTTTTAAATCTGTTTTTTTTTTTTTACTTGTTTCTCTTTTTCTTACACATTTTTTTCTTTTGACCTGTGTCTTCTAAACTTCATTCTCTCTCCTTCATTTTCTTGCTTTTTCCTCTTTTTCATTCCCCTTCTTTTTCCTCTCTTCTTCTTTCCTTTCTTCCTTCCTTCTTCTTTCCGTCTTTATTCCTGCTTTTTGTTTTTCTTCTTTCCTTACTTCTTTTTCCTTTTTCTTCCTCTTCCAATTTCTCCTTCTTTTTCCTCTCTTCTTCTTTCCTCCCTTCCTTCTTTTTCCTTGTTTATTCTGCCTTTTGTTTCCTTCTTCCTTTTCTTTTCTTCCTCTTCCCCTTCTCCTCCGTCTTTTTCTTCTCTTCCTTTATTCTTCCTTTTGTTTATCTTCTTTCCTTTCTTCCTTTTTCTTCCTCTTCCAATTTCTCCTTTTTCGTCTCTTCTTCTTTCTTTCTTTCCTTCCTTCTTTCTTTGTTCTTCATTTTATTTTTATTCTTTCTTTCCTTCTTCCTTTGCTTTTTCTTCTCCCTCTTCTTAGTTTGCTTTCCTTCCTTCTTTTCTTCCTTTCTTCCTT